ATTCCAGGGTCTGGGATCTTGGGATGGAGCCCCACATCAGGCTCCTTGCTCAATAGGGAGCCTGCTTCTCCCTCTACCTGCCGCTCCTCCTGCTTGTGCTCTCTCTCTCTCTCTTTCTCTCTCTGTCAAATAAATAAATAAAGTCTTTAAAAAAAAAAGAAATGTAATCACCGAATGACCTCTAGCTTCAAGATGTTAATGATGGAAGAGAACTACTACTACAGTAGTAGATGAAGAAATATTTTATAATGATATATTTTATAGGCTTCATAAAAGAGAAGATGAACAAAGAAAAAGCCAGAAATGAACAACTTTAGAAACACCAAAATAAATTTCAACAAAAAAACTTTTTATGTGCTGGGTCCAAAAGGAGTAAGAATCTGGAGATATGAAACTGACATTTTTGCTGTAATCCTTCTTTTCAGTAATTGCTGCCATGTCATTGCCCCATGATGAAATCCTCCTCACCTCTTCCTCTCAGGTGATCTCAAAGATTACTGGTGCTGTTTTCTCATTGCACTCCGATAGCAAGAATGGAGAAGACATCAAACTGTACTTGCAGTGGCCAGCCAGTCTGGAGATGATGGGGAAAATGTGCCTTTCTAAACTGTATAGAAATGAACTTACTTTTATTATGTGGGCATTCTATAGCATCTAAAGTTGAGTTTCAGGGCAGATCCCAAGGATGTACAGGGAGTGTAAGTAAGCAAATTTGGATTTCAGAAAAAGTGCTTTCTAAAATGTCTTGGTGTGTAGCTGATTTGTTTTGGGACACTTTTCAGTTAGTTGACTATGGTCTCCCAATTAATCTCACGAATTATTATAAAAATTATTATTGAAAAACTAATCCAAGAAATATTTTCCAAAATGTAAGGACATGAATTTAGCAATTGAAAGAATCTATCATATTCTTATCAAAATGGATATAAATAGGTATATACCAGAGATCATTATCGTGAGGTTTAGAACACTGGTGATGAAAGGAAGATTCTGGAAACTTCTGAGGGGAAAAAAACAAGTCACATACTGAGGATCAAGATCAGAATAGCTTCAAACTTTCAACAGCAATGCCAGAAACAAGAAAGCAATGGAGAGGGCGCCTGGGTGGCTCAGTTGGTTAAGCGACTGCCTTCGGCTCAGGTCATGATCCCAGGGTCCTGGGATCGAGTCCCACATCGGGCTCCCTGGGAGCCTGCTTCTCCCTCTGCCTCTCTCTCTTTCCGTCTCTCATGAATGAATAAATAAAAAAGAAATAAAATCTTAAAAAAAAAAAGAAAACGAGCATAGAATTTGGACTTTCTTGGGTAACTTGAGAGAGTCTCTAAGAAAGCAGGGGTCTGCTCTAGATTGGATGCTGTCAGAAAGTAGGGGTAATTCTATGAATGGATATCTCGACAAATCCTATGTATAGGAAGAGAGGCAAAAGATAAAACTGCAGTTGGTAAAGAAGTAGCCATTACTCATTTTGGCCAAGAGAGGGAGTATTTGGTATTTTGTGGGTGGCACAGTGACCTTGTATTTATCTATGGTTATACAAAATTATGCAGTGGCCTTGCTTTGTCTCATTTTAGTATGGTGTCAGAGTAACCTTGGCAGAGGTGGATGTTCCGTGAAATTGTTTTTGTCTAACAGGAATATAATGTGGGCTACCTGTGAGTACAGGGCAGCTTCTGAATGTCAGGGGCAGTTCTTTTCTTTCTCAGTATAGTCCCTTAATAGCCTATTTGATTTGGCAAAAAGTGCCACAGTGCCAGGCTTGTTAGGCATTGGATATACAACAGCGAACAACACAGACAGCCCTTGTGGAGCTTACACTTTACAGACAAGGTGATATTCCAGAAGCTTAGGCAACTTGCTGAGAACTCTATAGCAACTTAAGCGTCTGGGACCTGAACTACAGTTAATCTAACTGTACCCATGCCCTCAACACCACACCAGGCTGCATGCCTTTCTGAGGTCAGGACATCTATTATTCACAGACTTTTTTCTTTTCTTTCTTTTTTAAGAGACTGTTTATTTTCCATTAACCTTATTTCCTTTTCAGGAGAGATCCACTTTCTGTTTAAGAGTCTATGGAAGAGGGGTACATGGGCGGCTCAGTTGGTTAAGCATCGGACTCTTGATTTTGGCTCACATCATGATCTCTGGGTCATGAGATCCAGCCCCACATTGGGCTCCGTCCTTAATGTGGAGTCTGCTTAAGACTCTCTCCCTCTCTCTGTGCCCCTCCCCTGACTTGCACACATGAACGCACTCACTCTCACGCGCGTTCTCTCTCTCTCTCTAAAATAAATAAATAAATAAAATCTTAAAAAAAAATAAAAGAGTCTGTGGAAGAGCAGCTTAGGATCACGCAGGGGTTGTCCCTACCCACCGAGTGGCCTGAGCAGTGGGAGCTGCAGAGCAGTCCTGAGCGGTGGCTGGGAGCTCCAGTCTTCCGTAGGGAACTGCAGGACACGTGCACACCATCTGAGACCTCAGGCTGAGCAGCAGTAAATTCGGGATCTGGGGCAGCCCATTCACCCGGAAAGTCCTCCTTGGTCACGGCCTTTTCAGGAGAGATCAGGCCTGGCCTCCCCTGGGGGTTCACGAGAGATGGTGCCACACGTGTGCAGAACTTCCCGGGCCAGCATCCCCCGCCCCCGACCCACTGCGCGAGCTCCCGCGCTGTTGTGTGGGTGGCCGTGTCCCCACAGCGCAGAGGAGAGTCTGGTTACACAAAGCG